ACCCCAAAACCATTGACCATAAAAGAACAGACTTGATACATTGGACATCATTAAAATTAAGAATTTCTCTTCATCTCTGGGAGACAGTAATAGCAACCACATATCCCCAATAAAATGTTAGTGAAAGCTTAGAGCCTGTACAAAAGTGGATCTCTTGGTGGCCAGTGAGCATATGGAAAGGTGCAACACTATTAGTCACAAGGGAAATGCAAATTAAAACTGGAATAAGGTACGATTATACACTCACCAGAACGGTTACAAATTAAAAAGACTGACAGCACCAAGAGTTGATTTAGAGGAACTGGAACGCTCACCCAGCTGCTGCAGGGAGGGCAGTGTATGTGATTGTCATGCTGATTTGGAAAACTGACAATATCTGCCAAGGTAAAGTTATGCCTCCCTCATGACCAGCAGTTCCCCTCCTGGACACACAAGGAAAATGAGCGCCCACATCCACCAAATGACATTGTTCACGGCAGCTTTATGTGTGCTAAAACCTGGGAGCACAACATCTGGGAACAGGAGAATTGACAATAGCATCCAACTGCATGGATGCCCCTCCCAGACCTAGCGATGAGCAGAAGTAAACTATATGACCCTCTTTTCTTTTCTTTCTTTTTCCTTTTTTTTTTTCTGGCCATGCTGCACGGCACGTGGGCTTAGTTCTCTGACCAGGGATCAGACTCGCACCCCCTGCAAAGGAAGTGCAGGGTCCTAACCACTGGACCGCCAGGGAAGTCCCTGACCCTCTTTTCAGACTGAGTTCAGTAACAGGCGAAACTAACCTACAGTGAGAAAGTCAGAACAGGAGTTTCACCGGCAAAGGCCCCTTCTGAAATGTTGGAAGTGCTATGTCTGATCTAGGATTCATCCAGCTGTATACCTACGATCAGGGCACTTTAGGTATGCCAGAACTCAAGATGCCTCTCCTCAGTACTACACCAAGAACCCGAGAGCCGCTCCCCAGTTCCTTTTTTCTGTTCTCTCCACCGCTGTGCTGTAGGACTGCCCTCCTGTGTCCACACGTGGCACCAGCACCAGCCCCTGGTCGGGCTTTTGATGGAACCCTACCTGCTTTGCCGCTCAGGATGGTTTTGCATTGTGTCCGCACTTTTTGGATCTCCTTTACTGTCGTTTCCACGTGTGTCTGAGCTTTCAAGTCCAGAAACGAGTTTGCTGACGGTGGCTGCGAGCCGTTACCTGTTTCATTGCAACCTGACCCTTCAGAGGTGGCAGCTTCTGAAGGAAATGCAATTTAAAAAGGGTTTTGTGAAAGCCCATGCTTCTTGAAGGCGAAGGTTGCCATACTCGGGCGTGAAAGTCTTTTTCGCTGCCCTCCTGTGTCTTTGGTGAGCTGCTGTGTGTCGCCGATGACGTTAGTGGTGCTGTGAGAGGAGGCAGTTAATTCCTAGAGGGACCTTGGGAAGAGCTGTCTTTCCAGAGGCACATCGGTTCGTCTGTCTTTAGATAGGAGGTGGTGTGGATTTTATTTTGCTGTCAGTTTCAGTTGGCTTGACTTCGAGTGGAGACCTCCAGGTGAGAAAGAAACCATGAGCTGCCAGGTGCCACAGGTTCCATAAGGAGGTGCAGGACTGTTGCCCCTCTTCCCGCCTCAGCAGTGCTCTGTGGACCCGAAGAGAGGGCCTGTGGACACAAAGGGCCCAGAAGGGAGCCCCGAGGAGCCATCGTCCTCAGTCCAGCCACGGCCACATCCATATCACTCGGCTGCCCACTTGGGAAGTGTGACTGCTGGTGCATCCACCCTGTAGACAAACCCCTGGACCAGAGGTTTCCAACTCTAGAATCAGCATTTTAGCAAACGAGATACAGGGCACAGACTGCTGTCACGTGTCAGGGCAAACAGCATCCTCTTTGTGCGACAGAATGTGTGAATATTCACATGGAGCTGAATGAGGTCAAAATTTTTTTTTTAATTGAGGTATAGTTGATTTACAATATTATATTAGTTTCAGGTGTACGATGTGATTCAAACGTTTTTGTACATTATCCTCCATTTAAAGTTATCATAAAATATTGGCTGTATTCCCTATGCTGTACAATATATCCTTGTAGATTATTCATTTTATACATAGTAGTTTGTACCTCCTCATCCTCTACCTCCATTTTGCCCCTCCCTCTCCTGTCTCCCCACTGGTCACCATTAGTTCTCTATATCTGTGAGTCTGTTTCTGTTTTGTTATATTCATTTGTTTTATTTTTAGATTCCATATATAAGTGACAACAGAGTATTTGTCTTTCTCTGATGTATTTGACTAAGCATTATACCCTTCAGCTCCATCCATGTTGCAAATGGCAATATTTCATTCTTTTATTATGGCTGAGTAATATTCTATTGTATATATATGTGTGTATGTATATACATATATACACACACACACCACATCTTTATCCATTCATCTGTGGCTGGATACTTAGGTTGCTTCCATATCTTGGCTACTGTAAATAATACTGCTATGAACATTTGGGTGCATGTGTCTTTTCTGCATATATTCTTGTCTCCTTTGTTGTAGATTAATTGACCATAAATGTGTGGATTTATTTCTGGGCTCTTTATTCTGTTCCATTGATCTGTGTGTCTGTTTCTGTGCCAGTGCCATACTCGTTTGATTACTCTGGCTTTGTAGTGTAGTCTGAAGTCAGGGAGCATGATACCTCCAGCCCTGTTCTTCTTTCTCAGGATTGCTTTGGTAATTCAGGGTCTTTTGTGTTTCCCTACAAATTTTAGATTATTTGTTCTAGTTCTGTAAAAAATGCCGTGGGTATCTTGATAGGGATTGCACTGAATCTGTAGATTGCCTTGGGTAATTTGGTCATTTTAACAACACTGATTCTTCCAATGCATGAACACTGTGTAACTTTCCATCTGTTTGTGTTTCTTCAGTTTCTTTCATCAGAGTTTTAGAATTTTCTGAGTACAGGTCTTTTTGAATCAGGTCAGGTTTTGCTTCCAAATGAATTTGTCTCGAATTTATTTTTTTTTTTAAGTTTGATTTTTTTCCTTGAGCGTATTGGGTTTTGGATTTATGCGGAAGGGATTGTGAGCACATGTCTGTTCTCCAGCACTCCTGTTAGGTGTATTTAAGGTCCAGCACTGAGGCTTCTTGAGCTTTGGAGGAGATCAGGGATGCCGGGAGGATAGAGGAGTGTTTTCTCGTACGGTCAGGCGTGTTCACCAGCAGGCAGGGGTGACAGCTGCTGGTCCTGGCTCTGCCAAGATTTCTGACCCTCTCTGTTCCAGTTATTTAGTCATGAAACTGGACTGAAGTTCGGGCTTTTGGCCTGTTATCCAGGAAGATATACCCCCACCTTTCAAATGAAGACTGTTTTATTTTGAATCAAGAGAATTAAAAATGTTCCTGTACTTTTTCAAGATTTATCCTTAGAATCAGGAGAGCCCAGTAGAGCTTAGGTGCACAAAGATTCATTCCCCAAACCAAAAACTCCACAGAAACAAAAGTAGATTTGTGGCATGCCAACAAGAGAGGGGCTTTTGATAATTAATAAGGACCTACTTTAGAGCACAGGGAACTCTACTCAGTACTCTGTAATGGCCTATATGGGAAAAAAAATCTAAAAAACAGTGGGTATATGTATATGTACAACTGATTCACTTTGCTGTACAGCAGCAAGTAACACGACATTGTAAATCATCTATACTCCAATTTAAAAAAAAAAAAAAGAGGGGCTTTTAAATAACTCAGGATGCATCAGGACCAGGGAATTTGGTGGAACTGCTAGAATTTGTGTCTTGAAGACTGTTAAATGATGAAAAGGGTCGTACGTATGATTCTCTGAAGAGAAAACTGGCCTAGAATGTGCTGAGTAATTCTGTAGAGCGAGTGTCTGTGTGTGGAATAGCCTCGAAGGAGAAGCACTCTGGAGTGTGGCCGGGTCCCAGCGGGAGCACCAGTCAGCTGTCCATCCTGAGAGGGCTCCATCGTCACAGCTCTGGGGGTCTCTGGGGAGCTGCAGCCCTCTCTCCCCACACATACCCCCTCACCCCACCCTGCTGGGAGAGAGGGGTACGGAGGGCAGGGCTGCTTCTTGCTCTCTGCAGGGCCAGCAAGCACTTCACCTCTGTGTCTGGTAGGACGGTGGGTAATTTTAAGTTTCTGTATTCTTCTTATGTTTTCCAGATTTCAGCACTGAGAATGTATTACTCCTTACAGTCATAGAACTTACAGTCATAACAGATTGAGGGTTCCCTGAAAACTGAACCCTTACTGTAGGGAGCACTTATAAAATTTATCAGCTCACAGACCAATCGTAGCAATCATAACTTACCAACGTCATTGGATATTTTTTTACCTGATTTTTGGATCTCGTGGAGGCTCGGGATCATAGTTCCAGGCCTCAATTTTTAGTTTACAGCACTTGAATATCACTTTTGAAGTATTTGAGATATCAGAGTGCCATTAGTTCTGTAATACTTCTCTTTAAAGGAGCCTACTTTTAAAACTTAAATTCATGTATTTTCAAGGAAACTTGGTCTCACTGCCTTAAGTGGAAACCAGCATTACTTGCTATGAATATGTGTTTTAGTTGAATTTATGAAGGTCCAGTCAGATGCTGTTGCCAGCAAAGGCTTTGAGCCCTTAGTCACGTTCTTCTGTTTTCTTAAATAGGAAGATGAGCAAGTGTTGGAGTGATGTGAAGGGTGTGTCAGCACTGCCCTGAGACGTCCCCTCTGTTGTAATCAGAAAGATACCAGGGGAAGTGAGGCAGTATCACCTGGTGTCCCCACCTCCTGAGTCCCACCCCTTCCTTGGGGGACTTTGATCTGATTTTGGGTGCCTGATGTATCACCTCCTCGGAGAGGAATGGAGGAGAAAGGACTGGGGCACTGGGGGTGCCCGTCCAAGGCGCCAGCTCCCTGTCAGATGGGTGCTCTGACATGACTGTGTGTGATTGTCCTTGACCTGCCCTGACCCGCCCAGCCGATGGCTGTGACCCCCACGCTGACTGGGACTTTCTTCCAGCAGGAGACCACTGTCCGCAGCTCCCGTGAAGATGTCCACTCCAGACCCACCCCTGGGCGGAACTCCTCGGCCAGGCCCTTCCCCGGGCCCAGGCCCCTCCCCTGGAGCCATGTTGGGCCCTAGCCCAGGTCCCTCACCCGGCTCTGCCCACAGCATGATGGGGCCCAGCCCAGGGCCTCCCTCAGCAGGACATCCCATCCCGACCCAGGGGCCTGGAGGGTACCCTCAGGACAACATGCACCAGATGCACAAGGTAGGGAGCCCTGGGCCCGCTGCCCCAACAGCTGGGTCCGCACGATCAGAGACGGGGGCGGGGGGAGTAGCAGCACACCCTGGCCCCTGCTGCGGGCCGGCAGCCACCGCACACCCTGTGTCTCTCACGCCCGTCGTTTTATTAGTGAATTTAGAATGTCCAAATCCTCAAAGATGGCTTACAGCCCATGGTTTCCCCCACTCGGGCTGCTCGGCTCACCCGGGTAACTCACGGAGCACAGCAGCAGGTGCCCTTTGTCCCCACTTGATCCTGTACTCGGGTGCCACTGTCTTAACCATGTACCTGAGTTGATCAGGGGTGCTTTTGCCAGTGAGATGAAGAACACCTCTTTTAACACAAATGGTTGCCCTCTCTCTTTGCATTCCTGGGCGGTGGTTGAAGGAAATGAGGAAATACCCTCTTATGGATAGTATTTTGCCCATTTTGCAGACGAGGAAGTAAGGTCTCAGAGTACGGTCACTCAGTGAGTTGGTGGCAGAGCCATCTCGCCCCTCCAGCCTTCCCAGCCCCTCAGGCGTGTGCCACATCGCTGACCTCCCACACAGTGCGGTGACCCCCTCCCCTCCCTGGCCTCCCCATCTCCCATATATTTCTGTCAACTTCGATACAGTATCTGTCCTGTCACTTCCCTCTTGGGAAGCTGTTGGTGATATCCCCCGACCCACCGCACTCACGCTGACTGAGGCCAGCTTCTCCTCTAGCACCATCTCCTTTTCCCTCTCTGACCATCTTGTTTCTTCCTCCTGGACACTTGACACATGTTTCTCAGACGCCTGCCAGGTGTCTGGCCTAGGAGCTGAGGCCCGGTGGTGCCCTTCACCTGCCCGCACAGAGCTCCTGCTCTGGGGGAGGCGAGCCCATCAGTCAGCTCCACCAGCCCAGGGAAGAAGGAGCAGAGGCTGGGCCCCACCCAGGGTTCTGCTCAGCATCCCGAGGGCCCCCTGCTTCTTCTGCTTGCGAAGCTGGCCCTTGCGCTCCCAGCCCAGTGCCCTCTCGTCCTCCTCTCACGGCACACACTGAGCTGTAGCTGACTTTGCTGGGCCAGCTATTAGACCGGAGAGCTGGATGTTTGCAATAACTGGGCCTACAGAGGGCCTGGAAGGGTCTCGGAAAATGTCCCCTTTCCCAGCCATTCCGTAGGGGGAGTGCTTAATGCTGAGCATCAGGAGGGAAAATGTGTGTTTCTGTCCCACCAGGATCTGATCGAGCCTCCGCGGAGGGGCAGAACGATGCTGCAGACAGCCTCCCTCCCAGCTAGCAGGTGGGAGGCCAATCTCGGATCAGTGAGGACATTTGACATACTGTTACCATACTTCCTGGGCAGGAGTTACTGCCCGTCTCTCTGATTTACAGTCTCCCAGGCAAGAGGGTCCCCCATCCAAAGACTTGTGGTCACAAGGTCGTCTTGTGACGATAAACAGGGAGCTTGGTATCCCAGCTAAAACTGCTCCTGACTGGGAGCTATGTGTGTCCTTTCCTTGTGAGATTTTGGCTGTCTGAAACTGTGTCCTCACCCTCTCCCTGATGTCCTGGTCCAGCTGTCCCCTTGCCTCTAGACCACCAATCTGCAGGTGCCCTGGGTGCCATTATTTCATGCACCCGCCTTGACACCCAAGTAGATGTCAGGACCATGTCTTGGACCTAAGCCACTTGGTCACGTTGGTGGTTCAGTAAATGCCATGGCGACTTTGGATGGGCATTACTAGTGATAGTGAACTCCTCTCATTCAGCGCCTTTCTGTGCAGCCTCTTGCCTTCCCGCCTTGCTGATCCTGCCCTGTTGTCCACTCTCGTAGCCAATGGAGTCCATGCACGAGAAGGGCATGTCGGACGACCCCCGCTACAACCAGATGAAGGGGATGGGGATGCGGTCGGGGGGCCACGCCGGGATGGGGCCCCCGCCAAGTCCCATGGACCAGCACTCCCAAGGTATGGTTTCCTTTCTTTTCTTTCTTCATGTTTGTTGCCCTCCGGAAGTCCCGAGGTCATTTTCCTAATCGGATCACGCACGCATGGATTCAGAGGACCTAGGGCAGTTGAGCCTCGTGGGAGACCCTGCCACAGAGGGCTGTTTAGCTTGGGCTTGGCTGGTGCCCTGTAGGGCGTCTTGTCTTGGAGCAGCCCCAGGAGAGTGGATACTGGTGGGACAGAACTGTGTTCAGCGCTGGTTGTCAGACAAGCCCTGGGCAGGATGGGCTCCTCGGGATAGACGCTCTGGTGCCACCCAACGCAGACTCCTGGGATTTCCCTGACGGTCCAGTGGTTAGGACTTGGTGCTTCCACTGCCGGGGCGCTGGGTTCGATCCCCGGTCGGGGAACTAAGATCCCGCAAGCCACGTGGCATAGCTGAAAAAAAAAAAAGAAGAAGAAATGCAGGCTCGTGGGCTCTGCCCTGCTCCAGACCTGCTGAGTCAGAATCTCGGGAGGGGGCCGGGGCTCAGCTTTAACAAGCCCTCCAGGTACTTTTCTGAACAGGGAAGTTTGAGAAGCGATGGGGTACGTGGCTTCCTGTCACGGGGTGGGAAGCCCAGGGGCTCCGCAGGTAACAAAAGTGAGAGGAGTGGGCCTGGCCAAGCCGAGGGGCAGGGGGGCCGGCCCAGAGAAAGCCCGGATCTGTGTGACGTCTCAGCTTTAATCGTTGGTAGGTTACTGAAAGATGGGCCGAACCAAACCAGCTGTGCAGGCTGCCAACCAAGCTGCGAGCGTGTGCCCTCTGGGTGCCTCTTGTTTGAATCATGAGAACGAAATCTCAGTAGGGGCCTGTGAAATCATGAGAATGCAATCTCAGGGTAGGGGCCAGTGTAAGCAGGCAAGGGTTCCCGTCTCTGCCTTAAAAATTACTGGACATGTGCTGCCGAGTGACCGCTCGGATCCACGTTTCCCCGCAGGTTACCCCTCGCCCCTCGGTGGCTCCGAGCACGCCTCCAGTCCGGTTCCAGCCAGCGGCCCCGCCTCGGGCCCGCAGATGTCTTCCGGGCCCGGAGGCGCCCCGCTGGATGGTGCTGACCCCCAGGCTTTGGGGCAGCAGAACAGGGGCCCGACCCCCTTTAACCAGAACCAGCTGCACCAGCTCAGAGCTCAGATCATGGCCTACAAGATGCTGGCCCGGGGGCAGCCCCTCCCTGACCACCTGCAGATGGCAGTGCAGGGGAAGCGGCCGATGCCCGGGATGCAGCAGCAGATGCCAACACTACCTCCACCCTCTGTGTCCGCAACAGGACCTGGCCCCGGGCCTGGGCCCGGCCCCGGTCCTGGACCAGCACCTCCAAATTACAGCAGGCCTCACGGTAAGGCCCACCGCCCATGGCCCTCGGGGTAGGGAGGGGTCTCAGAGCAAACTGACAGGAGCGTGGTCATCAGTGCCGGGCAGATCTGGACTCTGCCGCCCATCGGCTTCCCCGACAGCAGGGTTGCTGTCGTGATAAATGTTGTTTCTCCAGCTGCCCCCTTTCTCCCCTGGTGCCCACAGTGAGGGGCTGCTTGTTGGGTGTGTCCCCTGGAGCCAGGGCTGCCCAGGGAGGCAGGTGAGGGGAGAAACACAGGACGCGTTTTATCCTCTTGTCCGTTTCTCCCTGCGTGCAGGTATGGGAGGTCCCAACATGCCCCCTCCAGGACCCTCAGGTGTGCCCCCCGGGATGCCCGGCCAGCCCCCCGGAGGGCCTCCCAAGCCCTGGCCTGAAGGTAAGTTCCCTCTGTTCTGGTGACACGTCTGTGCCCTGACTCCCATGTCAAGTTTGCATCATGCAGACCCTGAGATGAGCCCGGTCAGAGAGAGCGGGCCGAGGACGCGTCCTCGCTGCCTCTGCCGTCTTCTTTGGGTCTCACCTGGCCCTGCTCAGCTCCCAAAGGCTTGCGTTTGGTTCCATCCCTCTATACCTGCCCACCCTTGTCTTGTGGCTCACGGTGACCCTGGGGTTTCTAAACTGCTAGCGGGAAGAGAAGGATACTAATGAATGAGTCCACCATGGGACTCAAGTGAGAGGCCCAGCTGCAGCTGCAGGCAGCATCCTTCAGGACGCAGTGTCCCGAGCCTGGAGGTTATGGCTGACTCTCTTCCCTCGCAGAGCTGTGAGAGGCAGGCAGGATGGCAGGGCAGCTCGGGGTTCTGTCTCCCCTGTGTTCTGTGTAAAATGTAGTTAGTATTTATTTGAAGGTCACATCTGTTAGGTCAAAACAGTGGATAGGGCTTCCCTGGTGGCGCAGTGGTTGAGAGTCCGCCTGCTGATGCGGGGGAAACGGGTTCGTGCCCCGGTCCGGGAAGATCCCACATGCCGCGGAGCGGCTGGGCCCGTGAGCCATGGCCGCTGAGCCTGTGCGTCCGGAGCCTGTGCTCTGCAGCGGGAGAGGCCACAACAGTGAGAGGCCCGCGTACCACAAAAAATAAATAAATAAAAATAAATAAAAACAGTGGATAAAACGGACTCATTCCCCATCCTCATGGGCCCTGAGTTTCAGTGATGGGCATTGAAGGGTTAATTGCTTAAATAGGATTCCGTTGGAGCTGGCGTGGATGAAAGGCAGGCAACTGCTGCTCCTGTGAGGCCACAGCATAGCAAGATCACACCCAGACTCGGCACTCGGACCAGTAGGGGGCTTTGGGGAAGGGGCCTGCAGGCTGAGATCTGGAGGAGGAAGAGGAAGCGAGCCCCATGGGCGAGGAGTGGTGTGGCAGTGAGAGGTGGGGGTTACGGGGAGCTGCCCAGGCCTTGTCAGCCTTGGGGACGAGTTAGTCCCCAGGGCAGTAAACGCCCCGCAGGCTTGTCATCTCCACCTGGAACGGACTCACAACGCAACGCTGTGCCCTGCTTCTTGACTCCCCCCAGGACCCATGGCGAATGCTGCTGCCCCCACAAGCACACCTCAGAAGCTAATCCCCCCGCAGCCAACGGGTCGCCCCTCGCCTGCGCCCCCCGCCGTCCCTCCTGCTGCCTCCCCCGTGATGCCGCCCCAGACACAGTCGCCAGGGCAGCCGGCCCAGCCCGCCCCCATGGTGCCGCTGCACCAGAAGCAGAGCCGCATCACCCCCATCCAGAAGCCACGGGGCCTGGACCCCGTGGAGATCCTGCAGGAGCGGGAGTACAGGTGAGGGTGCTGCCGCCCCCGCCCCCACCCCAGGTCACACATTGTTGTGGTTCACACTTCTAAAGGCCTATGGGGTATGCAGCCAGAGATCACCCTCCTGCCTCTGTCCCCAGCCTCCCAGTTCTCTGGGTCAGTGTGTATCCTTCCAGAGAAATCGAGTATGTATACAGGCAGATGGGTACAAGTGGCTGTATGGTCCCCAAATGGTACCTGATACGTGCACTGTTCCTCCCCTAGCAAAATATCTTAGGGATCATCCCCTATTTGTACAAAATAAGCTCTTCTTTTTTCTGGACACATTCTGCCTGGTGGCCCTACTGTGACTTATTTAGCCAGTGTCTTACCCGAAGGGACGTTTAGGTGGTCTCTGATCTTTCGGCAAAACGATGCCGTAGTAAATACACTTGCATATTTCTCAATTCACATGTGTGCATTTATGTCAGAATAAATTTGTGAACACGGCATAGTTTGGGTGCAGGGGATTTACATGCACGTGGAAATTTCATCAGTTCTGCAAAACTGCCCTCCATGGAGATTGTATGTGTTGGAGTGAAAGTGCTGTTTCACCTCTCCAACACAAGTGTATGATCCAACTTTTGGCTCATCCGGAAGATCCCACATGCCGCGGAGCGGCTGGGCCCGTGAGCCATGGCCGCTGAGCCTGTGCGTCCGGAGCCTGTGCTCTGCAGCGGGAGAGGCCACAACAGTGAGAGGCCCGCGTACCACAAAAAATAAATAAATAAAAATAAATAAAAACAGTGGATAAAACGGACTCATTCCCCATCCTCATGGGCCCTGAGTTTCAGTGATGGGCATTGAAGGGTTAATTGCTTAAATAGGATTCCGTTGGAGCTGGCGTGGATGAAAGGCAGGCAACTGCTGCTCCTGTGAGGCCACAGCATAGCAAGATCACACCCAGACTCGGCACTCGGACCAGTAGGGGGCTTTGGGGAAGGGGCCTGCAGGCTGAGATCTGGAGGAGGAAGAGGAAGCGAGCCCCATGGGCGAGGAGTGGTGTGGCAGTGAGAGGTGGGGGTTACGGGGAGCTGCCCAGGCCTTGTCAGCCTTGGGGACGAGTTAGTCCCCAGGGCAGTAAACGCCCCGCAGGCTTGTCATCTCCACCTGGAACGGACTCACAACGCAACGCTGTGCCCTGCTTCTTGACTCCCCCCAGGACCCATGGCGAATGCTGCTGCCCCCACAAGCACACCTCAGAAGCTAATCCCCCCGCAGCCAACGGGTCGCCCCTCGCCTGCGCCCCCCGCCGTCCCTCCTGCTGCCTCCCCCGTGATGCCGCCCCAGACACAGTCGCCAGGGCAGCCGGCCCAGCCCGCCCCCATGGTGCCGCTGCACCAGAAGCAGAGCCGCATCACCCCCATCCAGAAGCCACGGGGCCTGGACCCCGTGGAGATCCTGCAGGAGCGGGAGTACAGGTGAGGGTGCTGCCGCCCCCGCCCCCACCCCAGGTCACACATTGTTGTGGTTCACACTTCTAAAGGCCTATGGGGTATGCAGCCAGAGATCACCCTCCTGCCTCTGTCCCCAGCCTCCCAGTTCTCTGGGTCAGTGTGTATCCTTCCAGAGAAATCGAGTATGTATACAGGCAGATGGGTACAAGTGGCTGTATGGTCCCCAAATGGTACCTGATACGTGCACTGTTCCTCCCCTAGCAAAATATCTTAGGGATCATCCCCTATTTGTACAAAATAAGCTCTTCTTTTTTCTGGACACATTCTGCCTGGTGGCCCTACTGTGACTTATTTAGCCAGTGTCTTACCCGAAGGGACGTTTAGGTGGTCTCTGATCTTTCGGCAAAACGATGCCGTAGTAAATACACTTGCATATTTCTCAATTCACATGTGTGCATTTATGTCAGAATAAATTTGTGAACACGGCATAGTTTGGGTGCAGGGGATTTACATGCACGTGGAAATTTCATCAGTTCTGCAAAACTGCCCTCCATGGAGATTGTATGTGTTGGAGTGAAAGTGCTGTTTCACCTCTCCAACACAAGTGTATGATCCAACTTTTGGCTCATCCACACTCAAAAAGCCACCTGGCAAGCTCTGCGGTGGATGTTCCTCAAACATCAGTAGTCGCTGGTCGCTTTGCCAAGGCCTCCTGAGCACCGGGCGCTGTGTGAAATGCCTGGTGCACAGTAGGTCTGTATCACCCTGTCCCACACTGCTGGGGGTGCCTGAGATTCACTCCCTGAGCACCTCGTGCTCCCCTGTTTCTCCACTGCATTTATAACCTGTTCAGGGCCGGCCTCCCTTGGTAAATGTCAGCTCCATTAGGGGAGGGGGTTGTGCCTTGTTCACCGTAAATCCCCAGCTGCATCAGTAAATCTGTGCCCATGACTGTCTCTGGAGTGCATCTCCAGCTGTGACGTGCCCTGGAGCCCCAGCCCCTGTACCCAGGCGCCTCCCCGCCTGCTCCATCTGGACAGCTTAAAGATGGCCTGTCCAGATGGCCTTATGCCCCCAGTTTTCCCTTCTCTCTCTGTTCTCATGCAGCAGCTGAATGGACCACGGACCCTTCGGCTCCTTGACCCTCACTTGTACTCCCTCATCCTCAGTGTCTGGTGAACTCTCTCAGCTCCCTTCCCCCCAACGCTGTTCACCCTGCCATCTGGTCTACACCTCCTCCCTGGCCTCCCTGCTCCCATCCTTGCCTGTGCAGTGTTTCCCACACAGCAGTCTGAATTCTCTTTTTACAATTAACTTATATTAGATCTTTTCCCTGGGTTAAAACTGGCTTCCCATTATCCATTGAGTAACCCTTTTCTCTTTAGCCCCTGCCCAATGCTCTGTCCTCATCTACCTGACTGTCCCGGTTCCTCTTTCTGTTGAACAGGTTAGACTTGTTCCTGCCCCAGGGACTTTGCACATGCTCTGCATGACTCTTTGTGGTTATTTAAGCTTCATCGCCAAGGTCCCCACCTTATAGAGGCCCTGCCCCACCCCCGACCCCTCCCCTCCAGGACCCTCCTCGAAGTCCTTCTCCGGAATTACCATAGATACTTAATTTTTAAACTCCTTTATGGCCTGATAATGCTGTGAGCTCCATGAGAGCAACAAACAGCCTTGTTAGTCTTGTTTAGTGCTGAACCCCTTCACCTGGAATGGTCCCTGGCACACAGCAGGTGCTCAATAAGTGTGTGAAAGACCGAGTAAGGAGAGTATCCCATTTGAACTTCAGACCAAGCCTGTAGGGTTGCTCTGAGGGGTCTCCCCACTTCATAGCTGAGGACGCTGAGGCTCACGGGCTAAGTAGATTCCCAGGGCTGGGATGGAGACCCTGGCCCACCTGACTCCAGAGGCTGGCTCCCACTGCTGAAATGCCAGAAACCAGCTGCGCCCTGTCAGGTTTCCGGTTTGCTGTGGCTCCCGAGACCTCTGTGGCTGCCCTCCTGTATGTAGTCTGTGTTGTGTGGCATCCTTTTCTCGGCCATCTCCTGTCTTATGATTCATATCGGCTTCCCTTGAGGGATGGATACTTCTGAGGCTCCAGCTTCAAAGAAAGGGAACAGATAGGTTCCTTGTAAACAGGTGAGACTTCTCATCACCTGTCTTTTTTCTGTCTTTGCGCCCTAGGCTGCAGGCTCGCATCGCACACCGAATTCAGGAACTTGAAAACCTTCCCGGGTCCCTGGCCGGGGATTTGCGAACCAAAGCGACCATCGAGCTCAAGGCCCTGAGGCTGCTGAACTTCCAGAGGCAGGTGGGCGCAGGCGCAGGCCTTTGCTTTCGGAGGAGACTCTTTCTGCCAGCCTTGATGCTTAGATTAAAGAGCCGCTCACTGGGCAGTTATTAAATGTACCCTGACCATTAAAGCCGCTGTGCCGGGACTTCCCTAGCGGTCCAGTGGTTAAGACTTTGCCTTACAATGCAGGGAGTGCAGGTTCGATCTCTGGTCAGGGAGCTAAGATCCCACATGCCTCTCGGCCAAAAAACGGAAACATAAAAAAACAGAAGCAGTATTGTAACAAATTCAATAAAGGCTTTTAAAATGGTCCACATCAAAAAAATCTTAAGAAACAAAAGTCTCAGTGCCCAAGTGCACTTGTTAGCTCACTGTCCCCCTTCCTTTCCATGTCCTGCCCGGTGGAGGGACATTGGGATGAATAAGTGTGGGCCTTCCCTAAGGTGGCAGTGGCTAGCTTGAAGCAGTGTACTTAGATGGGTCTATTTCTTTCTTTCTTTTTTTTTAAATTTTATTTTATTTGGCCATGCTGTGCAGCATGAGGGGTCTTAGTTCCCCGACCAGGGATCAAACCCGTGTCCCCTGCATAGGGAACGCAGAGTCTTGGCCACTGGACCGCCAGGGAAGTCCCTAGATGGGTCTAATTTCTAAGGGTCCTTTAATTTTGAATGACCAATAAGGAAGTTTGTTTGTGGTTGAGGGAGGGCAAAGCTGGAGACCTGAAGGCATGAGCATAGGGCTGTCTGCTGGGTGTCCAGAAGCAGCTCTCTCCTACCCTGTGCATTCCCCGCCTGCGGGCACCCACCACGGGTTCTCCCCACGCACGCGTTTGTGCTCACGGGTCCTCCTGGGAGCGGCTGCCTGCTGCCTGGCTTGCGATATGGAGGTGCGCGTGTTGCATGGATGTTACCGAGTTGTGCCCGTCGCCAGTTTCTCCTCTTCCTTCCCGAAGCTGCGGCAGGAGGTCGTGGTGTGCATGAGGAGGGACACGGCCCTCGAGACGGCCCTCAACGCCAAGGCCTATAAGCGCAGTAAGCGGCAGTCCCTGCGCGAGGCCCGCATCACCGAGAAGCTGGAGAAGCAACAGAAGATAGAGCAGGAGCGCAAGCGCCGGCAGAAGCACCAGGTGTGTCCCCGCAGCCGCAGGCTTGACCGTGTGCCTGAGTCATCAGCTCCGCACTGTCGAGTCTTGGTTTTCCTCTCAACACGATGTCCGAGTCTCTTTTCTGTTCATTATAAGAGTATCCTAGGCACTAAGAATACTTCAGTGGACAAAAACCAAACAGTACGGAAAGGTGGGTCATAATCAAACGCACGTATAACACGTTGGGAGTTAATAGGGTGTAAGGAGACATGAAGCGGGGATAGGGAGCGATGGAGGAGCCCTTTACATAGGACGGTCAGTCAGGGACGGTCTCCCTGAGGATGTGAGGTCTGAGCAGAGCCCCGAGGGAGGAGCTACACCGACGTGTGGACGAGGCTCTTTGCAGACAGAGGGGAGTGTGCCCCAGTGTTCTGTGAAAAACAGTGACCCAGTATAGTCCGAGTGGGGTGAGCGAGGGGGAGGGTGGGAGGAGGTGAGAATGGGGAGGTGATGGGCAGAGCGTGCAGGGCCCTGTGGGCCGGGAGGATGACTTGGGCTTGTGCTATGAGTGAGGTGGGAGCCACGGAGGGTCCTAAGCCATGGAGGGTCCTCAGTCAGTGATCTGACTGAGGTTGTTACAAGATCCGTCAAGGAGACCAAAATCTCTACTCAAGTAGGATTTGGGGTGATTCTGTTTGTTCATTCATTTATGTTCTCTAAAGTTTGCCTCCAAACAGTGTCTGTTACTGGCATAGTTTAAAATAACAGAGAAGTCAATATTCAGTGTTAACTACCGTTAATATCTTAGTATATCATTCTGACCGTTTTTGTCTATATACATATAGTAATGAAAAGTTAAAGAGCTGCCTTTAAAAAATATATACATGCACATTGAGCTGTTTAAAGTATTATTGAAGCATGATTTTAACATATGTATCCATCTCAGTGTGCCCAGCATCCAGTGATTTATGAAACTGTTTCCCTGTTTGGGGACATGCAGCGTACTCTCAGCTTTCCAGTGTTAAAAGTAACACTGGGATAGGCATTCTTGTCCTTGAGTTTTTGGGCCAATCTCTGCTATTTTCCTTAAAATAAATTGCTAGCAGTGAATGATTTGGTGGGAGGGCGGGTGCATTTTGCAGCGGGTGGCAGACACTGCCAGGTTGTCTCAGCCAGGGCATTTGCCCCGTCTGCTGTGCATGAGTGGCGGCGGGCGGAGGGGGGTCCGTTTTCACCACACAGTCCATGCAGAGAATGTTGGGCCTCGTAGGCAGACAGTGTCTCTGTATCATTTTGGTTGCGTCCCCTTGGTTTTCACCCAGCCCCCTTTAAAGTTTCGTCTCACTTGGGGTGACACCACGGCAACTCCTGTCCCATAGTCAGTCTGCTCTTCTGTGTGCGTCCTGCAGGAATACCTCAACAGCATTCTTCAGCACGCCAAGGATTTCAAAGAATATCACAGGTCGGTCACAGGCAAAATCCAGAAACTCACGAAGGCGGTGGCCACATACCACGCCAACACTGAGCGGGAACAGAAGAAGGAGAATGAAAGAATCGAGAAGGAGAGAATGCGGAGGCTCATGGTACAGTTGGCCATCGTGACCCGGGTCCCTTCACGCGGGTGCTGGGTGTCGCAGGCATGGGGGCGGATCAGCCGCCCAGGGTTACACCGGGGCGTTTTGGTGCTCAGAGTTAGAGGCAGGACAGAGAAAGAAAGGGCTTGGGTTTGGGAGTCTGAAAGACCTGACTCCAGACCGTTGCCCACCCACTGACCATCGGTGACCATGTGACCTCAGCTGGTTGACTGGCTGCTCTGTGCTCTCTGGAAGGTGGAGGTGGCACCCCTCCCGGTGGAGGAGCCGCCGATGGTGTGAGCCTGACCTCCCACCCCACCCTTCCCATCTGACCATGTATTATTCGTGGAGGGTTCTCTGACCGGGCCAGTTTTGACAGGCACTGCTGCGTGGACAGGGCCACGTTAGTACGAAGGAGAGTCCCTGCCCCGGTGGGGCTTGTGCTGGCCCTAGAGAGACAGATGCCCAAGCGAGACAGACAAGATAGTTTTGGGTGGTGAAAAGCGCACTGAGGAGAACAAAGCAGGGCCAGGGAGTGGGGGTTGACTGGGTGTTACAGGCAGGGTAGGCGTGACCCACGAATGCGGAGATCCAGGGGAAGCACCTGCCGGCAAAGAGGAGCTGAGGGCAAAGGCCTGAGGCGGGAAGAAGCCGTGTGTGAGGCTCAGCCAGCGGCCCCTGGAACAACGTGGCATGGGGGCAGAGTGAGGTCCCGGAGTCAGCCACGCGGGGCCTTGCACGCCACGGGGAGGGCTTTGGATTTAATTCTGACCATGATGGGGAGCCGCGGGAGGCTGTAAGCTGGGAGGGCGGTTGGGGGGGCGACATGATCCGATGTGTTCTCAGAAAGCCGGGGCAGGCGGTCTGTGGGAGAGCGGTGGCTCGGACAAGGTGGAGAGAAGGGTTGGGATTTGGGTGTGTTTGTGGACATAGGGGACAGAGCTTTTAAATGGCTCCTGGCAGGACCATGTCTGTCCAGCAGGTCCCCAAGGAGCCTGGCCCGGGGCGGGAACTGGGGAAGTTCCGAAGGGGAGTCAGTAGTTATGTGAAAGCTGTGAATATAGCACAGCCCCGGGTGTGAGCTCAGTGCTCCCTAAATGTGGGTCCGGCTGCCGGTTAACTGCAGCCCCGCGGGCTTCTTGAGCCTGGTTTGCCCGCCCTGGGCGCTGGTGGCCGAGCGTGTCACGGGCGCGCGCCATAACCACACGCTTCCGCAGGCCGAGGACGAGGAAGGGTACCGCAAGCTCATCGACCAGAAGAAGGACAAGCGCCTGGCCTACCTCCTGCAGCAGACGGACGAGTACGTGGCTAACCTCACGGAGCTGGTGCGGCAGCACAAGGCCGCCCAGGTCGCCAAGGAGAAGAAGAAGAAGAAGAAGAAGAAGGTGCGCGCGGCGGGGCTGGAGCGCCCGCGAGCGCCCGCGCGCCGGCCTGCCCGGCCGGGGGGTGACTGTCTCTCTCTCTCCTTCCAGAAGGCAGAAAACGCTGAAGGACAGACACCTGCAATCGGACCCGATGGCGAGGTGAGGAACCAGGGGTTTCTTCTGTGGAAATGCCAGCCCAGCCCCAGAGGTTAGGTCTATTTCACCCTTAAAAAATTTTTTTTCTTCCTTTGAAATTATAAAAGTACATGGCAATGGTGAAAATCCACATAGGTCCCCTGCCACACTCCACCCTTCCTCGCTCCCACTGCCCAGAGAGAATATTGTTTACTGTTGGGTGCGTTTCCTTCCAGAGCTTTTTCTGTGCACGTGCTGTTATTTATTTCTCAGTTTTCCCTTGAAAGTTCCAGGCTCACGGGAGAGGTGTAAGAACAGTGCAGAGAGTTCCTGCATACTCTCCACCCAGATTCCCACTTTTCGCGTGTCATTAGTTTTTCCTAAACCATTCGAGGGTCGGATGCACACGTGAGGTTTTTTTAACCCCTCTGTGTGTTTCACTGTGTACATCCTACAAGCAAAGCTGTTCTTTTCCACAGCTGTGCAGTGATCAAAACCAGGAAATGAACACTGACGCGACACTGTGATCTAATTCACAGCCCTTGTTAAGGCTTCACAGTTGACCCTCCAGTGTCCTTCACAGCAGCAGAAAACCCTGAAGTGACGCCGGGTCCTTCTCCGTGCGTCATATCCGGAGTGTGTGGCGTAGATTTCTTCCCCCACTGGTGATACTGACCTTTTGGTGGCTGCAGAGGTGTCTCCAGCTGTAAAGACTAAGTACCTTGTGCAGAGATACTCAGACTATGTAAAGATAACGTGATTCCTCAGACTTTCCTCGGCTGTTTCATCATCTGTGGTCTTTGCCTGTATCAGTTTTTGCCATAAGGGTTACAAAATGGTGATGTTTTTTTCCCTCGTCTTTTCTTCTGCATTTATTAGTTGACTTTCTGCAGGAAGGAGAAGCCTTCCCTTCTTTTTTATTTGGCTTGTTCATAGTTTGGCAACCCTTGGTACTGACTCATGGATTCTTATTTAGTTTAACGGATTTACTTAGTTTAATCCTGCACTATTATTATGTATTTTGATGCTCAAATTGTTCCATCTTGGACCAGTAGGAGCCCCTTCACATTGGCTCCTGCCTGCTTTTCATGTGTCCCCATCGTTCTTTGAGGGGTTTCTGACTTCCTCGCACACGAAAATGGCCCAGGCTCATCTTCCGCTTTCTCTGTCCGAGTCCTGGACTCGGTCATTTCTCCAAGGAGCCCTGATTCCTTTAATCAGAGAAGAATGTTTGGAAACCATGATCTAGATGTGTTCGTTGCTACTGAGTTGACATTGCTTCTGGGCCCTCTCAGTGGACAGCTCTAGGAAACAGATGTGTGTATGCACACACATCCACCTTGCTAGTTATATATATTAACTAGTTATATATATTAAAAATACTGAGGTCACACTGATACTTCCAGTTCTAATCCAGTACCACGGGGTTCTTTCTCTCCTTCTCCCTGTCCACGTTATAATAGCCCAAAACCTGACCCCCATCTGCCACGAGATAGGCCCTCATTTCCTCAGTCCTAGACTGTGCAGGAAGTACATTCAGAATGGCTAACATGTACCCCTCTGCAAAAGAAACCTCCTGGCTAGGGGCTTTCCTGGTGGCACAGTGGTTAAGAATCCACCTGCCAGTGCAGGGGACACGGGTTCAAGCCCTGGTCCGGGAAGATCCCACATGCTGCCGAGCAACTAAGCCTGTACACCACAACTACTGAGCCTGTGCTCTAGAGCCCTTGAGCCACAACTGCTGAGGCTACATGCCACAACTACTGAAGCCCGTGCACCTAGAGCCCATGCTCCACAACAGGAGAAGCCACTACAGTGAGAAGCCCGCGCACCGCAACGAAGAGTAGCCCCTGCTCCCCGCAACTAGAGAAGGCGTGCATGCAGCAACGAAGACCCAGTGCAGCCAAAAATTAATAAATAAAATAAATAAATTTATTAAAAAATAGAAAGAAACCTCCTAGCTAGAGGTCAGTGTTTGTCTGAAGTTGAAAGTACATGCTCCAGATACTGCATTCAGAAGATTAGTTCTCCCCTTGTACCCCCGTTAGTGAGGCTCCCCGCAGCGCTTGTTGGTTTTATTTATTTACTCCTCATTTCTTTATTTAGGATGTGAAATACTAGCCTGGTTCCAAAAGTCAGAACCGTGCAGTGAGGCCCACTCAGAGAGGGGTTGCTGTCCCCACACACGAGTCTTTTCCACGGCACTCTTGTCCGCCTCCTCTCGGTTAACACACTAGTGTGAAAGAAGGCTGCATAGTGAGGTGTAAATGCAAGGTGTGGCCTTTACCACCTCCTCCAACCCCTCCTCGGTCCCCCTTCCCAGAGAGAAACCTGAGTAACCTTCGGTGTGTTTGCTCTGGGACCTTTTCCGTACCTGCGTCTCCAGGTGGTTTTCTTTTCCCCGCCTGGTATTGTATCTTAGTCTTTCCAAGTTAGCTCATGTACACTTACCTGACTCTTTCTAATGCCACCGTATTAGAGAGGTGGCTAGCGCTTGCTTCTCTGACTTATAAATGTAATACTTCCAGGAAAAAAATGATAATGATAACATGAAATGTAAATGTAATGATAACATGAAAAGTAGAAGCCCCCATGGTGCCTGTTCTCTCATAAGCATGCATGTTGATCCCTGTGATGTCTCTCTCTGTATCTTTCCAGAAACCTTTGTGCTTATATTCTCTTTGTTTTGTTTTGGGGCCATTTGGGTCAGTCTACACATAGCAAGACTTTTCCTGCTTAGCAGGTATCTTGGACCACTTGCCATATCAAGCCATTAGTTCTTTCATTTTATTGTATTGATGTACTAGCATCTCTTTCATCGTTCACATTGATACCTATCTAAGTTGCTTCCCATCTGTAGCTGTTAGATCCTGCACTGAACAGCTCTGATGGACCACCATATGTCCCCTCCCCTATGGGTGGCTATTTCCATTGTTTCCTTTCTTTCTATCCCACACATTGTTGTAATGAGCCCCCTTGCTCTCTTAGCTGGGCTGCCATAACAAAACACCATAGCCTGTGTGGCTTTTTTTTTTTTTTACCACATGGCACACGGGATCTTAATTCCCCGACCGGGGGTTGAACCCGCACCCCCTGCAGTGGAAGCACAGAGTCTTAACCACTGGAGCTCCAGGGAAGTCCCTTTTGTTTTTTTTGTTCTTGTTTTTGTTTTGTTTTGTTTTTTGGTAGCCTGCGTGGCTTAAACAGCAGAAATATACGTTCTTATAGTTCTGGAGGCTGGAAATTGGAGATCAAGGAGCAGCAAGGTTGGTTCCTGATGAGGACTGTCTTCCCGGCTTGTAGACTGCTGCCTTCTGGCTGTGTCCTCACATGGGGGGAGAGAGAGCAAGCGCTGGTGTTTCTTCTTATGGGGGCACTAATGCCATCCTGAGGGCCCCACCCATATGACCTAATTTAATCCTGATTACCCGCCAAGGGCCCCATCTCCAAATACAGTGACATTGGAGAGCTGGGGCTTGAGCATATGAATTTTGGAGGGGACACAGTCCAGTCCGTAGCAGATGGCACGCTTTTTCCCGTTGGCCTGATTCCCAGAAATGAATGACTATAGTGATTAACTCAAATAATATTCTTATTTCACATGATTTTATTTGAAACGTTAAGTTGAATTTTTTAAGAGAAATGTGGGCTGGCATTTTACTGCAGTGCTAAGCCTTCACACGGCCATTTGTGGCTTTCAAGGGGGAAGTCACATCGCAGGAAAGTGTGACTCGGGGAATTCTGTTGGGGAATCACTGCAGCTGCTCATCCTGTTTAGTAACGGGAACCATCACTTGATGATGGCTGTTGATTGTCCTTGTTCTCACCCAGTGGTTCGCAGCCTTGGCTGAACATCAGGATCAGCTGGGGAGCTTTTGAAAACCAGAGAGGCCCAAGCCTCACCCCAGAGCAGTTCTGTCAGGATTCTGGGTGTGGGGACATCCCGGCATCAGCACCATAACCGCTCTGAGGAAGGACTCAGGGGTGAAAGTCACTGATTGAGGCAGCCTGCAGAGCTCATTCTTGGGGCGTGGGGTTTCTGTTCCCCTTCATGGTGGGCCACTTTAAGGGTGAGATTTTAACCTGCATGGAGACTAATCTCTGCTGTGGGTCAGTGTTGATGGAGGGAGGCGTGGGAGGTGTAAGTTCCTGGTAGATGCAAACAAAGGCTTCCATCCTCATCCTCGTCCTGAAGGTTTTCACCAGGAAATGTGGAGGAGCTGATGAAGGGGAAAACTTCATCCCAAATTGGTATCTCAGGAAATTGAGGAATTCCATATTTGTTGCTACAAGGAAGTTTTATTTTTCAAATATTCTGGTTAGCTGTTTAACAGAAAAGAATGAGGACCCTTGTTGCAGTCTACAGATACAATATAAATTGAATAGCTCAAGGACCAGAAAAATGGGAATAGCGTAGTCACTTGGGTAAAAGAGGAAGGAGTACGTAAGTCCGTGTTCCTTATGTGTGGAATTGATCTGGGAGAACACACGAGAAAATGATGCTGGTGGGCGCCTGTGAAGAGGAACTGTTGGGCAGGGCGATAGGGAGGGAGAGTACACACTCTATACTCTTGAATTGGAACTATATGTTACCTATTTGAAAATTAAAACGTGGATATCAGTTCCTTCCAAGAAACAACTGTCATCAGTGGGTTATATGTATGTTTTTACTGAATTGTTAATATGCAGTTAACCCATCTCCACAACCACTGGTCACATTGGTGTGCTGTTTTCTGGGTGTGGAGTTGGGAGGTCACTTCCCCAGTTGGCCGTGGTTAGCGGGGCGCCCAAGGTATAGACTCTACGGGACCTCAAGTCACACGTGTGACTTTTTCAGCCTCTGGATGAGACCAGCCAAATGAGCGACCTTCCGGTGAAAGTGATCCACGTGGAGAGTGGGAAGATCCTCACGGGCACAGACGCACCCAAAGCAGGGCAGCTGGAGGCCTGGCTGGAAATGAACCCGGGGTGAGTGGGGCTTCGTGTTCCAGAGGCAGCCAGGATCCTGAGTCACTGGTCGGCCTCATTCCAGGGGAGCTGGAAGCTGGGGGTGATCCTGCTTACATTTGGAAACAGGCCAATTTGCTAAGGAAAGTGAATCATGCTGGTTCTGGGGAGATTTATATTAAAATGCTGATTTTTTTTTTTTTTTTTTTTAGGTATGAAGTAGCTCCAAGATCTGATAGTGAAGAGAGTGGCTCAGAGGAAGAGGAGGAGGTAAGAGTTCATTTCCTGGCTGTCGAGGCCCACAGTGCTGTGTGGTGTGACCTCTACCCACAGCAGGCACAGTGGTGATCCTCTCCCGCTCCAGCCAGGCATCGAATGGGGCAGGAGATAGGCACACGGGCAGTGGGTGAGGCTGAAAGTTGGTGCTTTAGAGCTGCACTGTCCAGTACCGTGGCCTCTAGCCACACATGACTGTTTCCACTTTCACTTAATTAAGTAAAATGTAAATGTCCTCACTCATATGTCCTCAGTCGTAGGGGCCACATTTCAGGCGCCCAAACAGCTCTCCCCTCCAGAAAATATTGGTATGAAGTAGTGAGCATGAAATCATACACATGTTGGCCCCTTGTAATCTATTCTTTGGCAGTGTTACAGGTGGTCGCATTTGTTGTGTATGTTCTCTAAATCATTTAATTATGCCACGTTATGGTGATTTTTGGATGTTTGCTGGTTGACAGAGCTCTGATGAGAGCCTTGTTCCTCTGTCTGTCCTGGGTGGCCTCCTCGGGAAGGGTGACTCAGAGGGAGCCCGGGGATGCAGTGTCCGAAAGCAGGGCTCGTTTTCCACAGTTAGCATCCAGAAGGGTGCTGTCCTGCACTCCCCCTTCAGCTGGGGTAAGAGTGTCTCACAAGGCTTTAAAAAAGCTCTGGCCACCTCCGTAAGATTTTAAAAAGGGAATTTTAATGGGCAGATATTTGCTTATTAAGGTTGAACATTTTTTCAGGTGTTACTATTTAGATTTCTTCTGTGAATGGTTTGCTTCATTTGTCCATTTCTAATCAGTTGTGGTTTTTTACTGGATTTTTAAGTGTTCTTTATGTATTTACCCCAGCCTGAAATCAGCTTGGTGTTCACCTATATCTTTCTTTTGGTTTGTCCTCTTACCTCTTCAGGTCATCTGGAATTTATTTTGTGTAGGGCTTGAGATGGCGCCCTTTTTTCCCCTTCCCAGTAGTAGTGTTAAGCCAGTTGGTATACTGTTAGTCCATCCCTTCCCCATTGATCTGTGATATTTTAAAAAAACTAATATTAAAGACACACTGGTGTCTTTTTAGGGTCACATGTTCAGTTTCTTCTTCTTTTTTCTTTTATAATTTATTTTTCTGGTTTTTATTTTATTTAATTTTTTTTTTAATTGAGGTATAGTTGATGTACTGTTCATGTTCTTTTAAAGTTCTAATAATTCTTAGACCAGTAACATTTTGTTGTAATTTTTTAAACAGCTTTATGGAGATATAATTTACATATGTAAAATGCACCCACAGTAAGAGTACAATTCAGTGATTTTTTAGTGAATTTATAGAGTTGCGCAACCATTACTCTACACTAGCTTTAGAACGTTTCTGTCACCCCAAATGACATCTCACCCATTTACAGTTGGTTCTCGCTAACTCCTCCAGCCCCAGGAAACCACTGGTCTGCTCTGTCTCTATAGATTTGCCATTTCCGGAATTTCACATAAATGGAATTATACAACATGTAGTATCTTGTGTCTGGCTTATTTTATGTGGCGTGTTTTTGATTTTCATCCATGTTGTCTGTACATCAAAAGTTTGTTTTAGGGCTTCCCTGGTGGCGCAGTGGTTAAGAGTCTGCCTGCCGATGCAGGGGACACGGGTTCGTGCCCCGGTCCGGGAAGATCCCACATGCCGCGGAGCGGCTGGGCCCGTGAGCCATGGCCGCTGAGCCTGCGCGTCCGGAGCCTGTGCTCTGCAACGGGAGAGGCCACAACAGTGAGAGGCCCGCGTACAGCAAAAAAAAAAAAAAAAAAGTTTGTTTTACATCACTAATTATTAGAGAAATGCAAATCAAAGCTACAATGAGGTACCACCTCACACCGGTCAGAATGGCCATCATTAAAAAGTCTACAAATAACAAATGCTGGAGAGGGTGTGGAGAGAAGGGAACCCTCCTGTGCTGCTGGTGGGAATGTAAACTGGTACAGCCACTGTGGAGAATAGTATGGAGTTTCCTCAAAAAACTAAAAATAGAGTTGCCATATGATCCAGCAATCCCACTCCTGGGCATTTATCTGGACAAAACTATAATTCAGAAAGATACGTGCATCCCTCTGTTCATAGCAGCACTATTTAGCAGCAAGGTCCTACACCTAGGAAGCTGTATTTAATATCCTGTAATAAACCATAATGGAAAAGCAAAAAAAAAAAAGAAAATATCCTATGCTTTGAAGGTGTAGATTTAACCCTTATATGCATATTTCCAAACCTATCAAACTCAACTTATCAAAATTTTTGATTAGATATGTACATTTTACTCTAAGTAATTTCTATCTCAATTAAAAAATATTTTTAAAATAAATGGAGAAACCATTAATAAAAGTTAAGGTCTTAAAAAAAAAGTTTGTTTTATTCCTGAGTCATGTTCCATTGTATAGATATACCACACTTTGTTTACCCATACACCAGTTGGTGGGCATTTGTGTTTTTTTCCATTTTCTGCTATTATGAATAACATTGCTGTGAACGTTCACATACATGTCCTTGTGTGGACATACGTTTTCATTTCTCTTGGGTAGATACTTAGGAGTGGCATTGCTGGGTCATATGGTAAGTTTATGTTTAACTTTTTAAGGAATTGACAAACTGTTGCCTGAAGTAGTTGTACCTTTTCACAGGTTCCAGTTTCTCCATATCCTTGTCAACGCTTGGCGTTATCTGTTCTTTACATTATGTAGCCATCCTTGTGGGTGTGTAGTGGTATCTTGTGGTTTTACTTTGCATTTTCTTAGTAAATAATGATGTTGAGCATCTTTTCAAATGTTTATGCACCATTCAGATATCTTCTTTGGTGAAAATCTATTGAAATCTTTTGCCCATTTTTAATTCGGTTGTTTGTTATCTCATCATTGAGTCTTAAGAATGCTTTATATATTCTTGATACGTGTCCCTGATCAGATATGTAGCTTGCAAACATCTTCTCCCAGTCTGTTTGCTTTTCTTTTCCCTCAGTGATGTCTTTTGAAATTCAAAAACGTTTCATTTTGATGAAATCCATTTATCGATTTTTTTCTTTTATGAATTGTGCCTTTGGTGTTGTATCTAAGAGCTGTTTGAAGTCACGAAGGTTTTTCTCTTATGTTTTCCTCTAGAAGTTTTATATTTAAGCTCTCACATTTAGGGTCATAATTGAGTTGATTTCTGTGTATGGTTTGAGGTACAGGTCTAAGTTTTTGTTTTTGTTTTTGTTTTTTTTTGCCATGGATAACCTTCTTACCCAGCACCAGTTGATGAACAGACTGTTCTTTCTCCCATGAATAGTCTTGGTAACTTTGTGGGAAATCAGTTGACCATAAAATTAAGGGTTTGTTTCTGATGCTCAGTGTTTTCCTGTTGATTAGTATGTCTGTGTTTGTGCCACTACCACACTGTCTTGTATTACAAGTTTTGAAATCAGGTAGTGTTAGTCCTCCAGCTTGTTTGCTCTATTGGCTATGCTAGGTACTTTGCATTCCCACATACACTTTAGGATCAGCTCATCAGTTACTACAAAAAGGCTTGCTGGGATTTTTATTGGGATTGTGTTGAATATAGAGATCAGTTTTGGGAGAATCACGTCCTAACAATATTTAGTTTTCCAGTCCATGAACATGAGATGTCTCTCTATTTATTTTGATCATCTTTAATTTCTCTTAGCAATGATTTGTAGTTTTCAGAGTATAGGTTTTGCTTTTTTTGTTGTTAAATTTATTCTTAAATATTTTATTCCTTTTATGCTACTAGGAATAGAATTGTTTCCTTGATTTTATTTTTTGATGTGTTGTTGCTATTACGTGGAAATACAGTTTTATATGTATATTTTTAAAATGTTAATCTTGTGTTCTGCGCACTTGCTGAACTCATATTGGTAATTCCAATAGGATTTTTTGTTTGTTTGTTTGATTCCTTAGGATTTTCACATGCAGGATTATGTCATTCATAAATAACCATAATTCTTCAATACTTCTTCCTTTCCCCTCTGTGTGCCTTTAATCTTTAATTTCCTTATCTTGCCTTATTGCACTGTCTAGATCCTCCGGTACAACATTGAATAGAAGTGTCTAGAGCAGATATCATTAGTTTGATTTTGATCTTAAGGGTTATGCAGTTAGTCTGTCACTATTGTTTGGTGTTAGCTGTAGATTTTTCATGGATGCCCTTTATCAGGTTGAGTAAATCCTCTTCCGTTCCTAGTTTATTGAGAGTTTTTAGCATGTGTGAGCTAGATTTTATCTCATACTTTTTCTATTAAGTTGATCATTTGATTTTTTTAAATTTATTTATTAATTTTTATTTTTGGCCGCGTTGGGTCTTCATTGCTGCGTGCGGGCTTTCTCTAGTTGCGGTGCGTGGGGGCTACTCTTCGTTGCGGTGTGCGGGCTTCTCATTGCGGTGGCTTCTCTCGTTGCAGAGCACAGGCTCTAGGGGCGTGGGCTTCAGTAGTTGCGGCACGTGGCCTCAGTAGTTGTGGCTCAAGGGCTTAGTTGCTCCCCGGCATGTGGGATCTTCCCAGACCAGGGCTTGTACCCGTGTCCCCTGCACTGGCAGGCGGATTCTTAACCGCTGCTCCAACAGGGAAGTCCCTGATTTTTTTTTTAATTTAAATTAATTTTTAAAATTTAATTAATTTATTTATTGGCTGCATTGGGTCTTCATTGCTGCATGGGGGCTTTCTCTAGTTGTGGCAAGTGGGGGGACTCTTCGTTGCAGTGCACGGGCCTCTCATTGCACTGGTCTCTCTTGTGGTGGAGCACGGAATTTAGGCACGTGGGCTTCAGCAGTTGTGGCACGTGGGCTCAGCAGTTGTGGCTCACAGGCTCAGTAGTCATGGCGCACGGGCCTAGTTGCTCCACGGCATGTGGGATCATCCTGGACCAGGGCTCGAATCCGTGTCCCCTGCATTGGCAGGTGGATTCTTAACCACTGCGCCACCAGGGAAGTGCAAATTTTTTACTATATTTTTTAAGTTATTTTCTTTGTAGTTGCTCCAGGGATTATGATATGCATCTTAATTTATCATCATATGCTTCAGGTTAATGCTAACTACATTCTGGTAAAATATGGAAATTTTGTTCTAGCTTAGCTCCATTTGTTCTTCTTTTGTGCTGTCATTGTCACATATGTTACATCTATATATGTTATAAACCCAACAATACAGTCTTCTAATTAATACCTGATATAATCTTATGACTTAGTCTAAAGAAGTTGGGAAAGAAGAAATAAGGGAAAATGTATTTATAGAGTCTTTTATATTGATACATGCATCTACCATTTCTGGTGGTTTTTATTTCTCCTTATGGATTCAATTTACTATCACCTATCATTTCCTTTCAGCTTGAAAGACTTCTTTTTTTTAAACGATTTTTAAAAATCAAAGTATAATTTACAATGTTGTGTTAGTTTCATGTGTACAGCAAAGCGATTCATTTATACGTACGTGTGTGTATGTATATTCTTTTTCAGATTCTTTTCCATTGCAGGTTATTGCAAGATATTGAATAATATTGAAAGATTTCTTTTACCATTTATTATAAGGCATGTCTGCTAGCAACAAATTCTCTCAGCCTTTGTTTTTCTGGGAATGTATTTCTTTAGCTTTCATTTTCAAAGATAGTGTAGCTGGACATAGAATTCTTTGTTGACAGTCTTTTTCCTTTTGAATATGTCATTCCACTACTTCCTGGTCTCCTGTTTCAGATGAAAGTCTAGCTACTAATTATATGGATGCTCCTTTGTACTTGATGATTCATTTTCTCTTTCTTGCTTTCAAGATTTTCTGTTTGTCTTTGGCTTTTAGAAGTTTGTGAACTCTCTCTTTGTGTTTATTCTCGTTAGTGTTTGTTCAGGTTCTTGGCTCTGTAGAGTCATGTTTTTCATCAGATTTGGGAAGTTTATCATTTCTGTCTTCTATTGAGACTCTGTATTTGTTGATTCATTCCACTTAAAGATGGTTTCCTTTATTTTGAACATATTTACAATAGCTTTGAACACATATATAGTAATAGCTGCTTGTAAGATTGTATGCTAAGTCCAACATCTAGGAACAGAGACAGGCTCAACCGACTGTCTTTTCCGCTGAGTTCGTATCACATTCTCCTCCTTTTTGTTTGTCTTGTAATGAATGTTTAGTGGAAGGCTATTTTAGCCACTCTGGATTCTGACTTCCACCCCTGTGCGTTCTTTTTGGTGTTTTTGTTTGTTTAGTAAATTATCTAGGCTGAATCTGTGGAATGTTTTCCCAGGGTGTGTGCTGCCTTTGGTGTCTCTGCTCAGTTTATTGTTTTTGTTTTTTTCTCATTTTTAGTTTTAATCCTGGCTCTCTAGGAGCGGGTTGTGTTTCTTCATAACTTAGTAGTCTTTCAGTGACTGGGGACAGTTTGTACTCAAGCACCTTGAGCCAGTAAGGCTTCTTTCTCCAGCCAGTGGATCAGTGTGTGTAGAAGAACACATTCCAAGTTTGGGCCATTTTCAAGCCCACCCTGGCTTTTACTTTCTGCTGGGCCCTTTCTCCCTTTCTCGTTTCCTCTGTGCATGTGCACAGCCCTCAGCCAGTAATATGCTTTCCTCACCCATGGCTGAGGTCCTCACCTCCACTGACAGTGCTGCTGGCCTGGGCATCGTCCACTGCTACAAAATGACTAAGTCCCCATCAGCCTCAGCTGCCAGGCCTCATGGCTTGCCCACCCTGGGAGAACTTTCACATCAGAACTGGGAGCTGAGGGTAGGAGAGATGAAAGCACCCCCAAGTAAGAACTCTACAGACTCCCGCTCTTCTTGCCCAAGGCTCAGCAGTTTTTTCAGTGTTAATGCTTCTCAGACTCCTAGGGCTCTGAAATGGTTGCCTGTGCTACTTTTGTCCAGCTTTAAAGTCACTTTTTTTTTTTTTTTTTTTTTAATATAAGTCAGACCTCGGGCAGGGCTGTCAAGCAGCCCCACCTTTCTCCCCACCTACTCCCCAGGAGAACCAGGGGAATTCTTTTTTTTTTTTTTTTTTTAATAAATTT